TTCTTTGGTCAAGATTGACAAGGTTTTTCATAATGAAATGAACACAGACTTTCCATCCAAACTTAACTTAATGTTAAAATTCACAATTTAATTCTATTCCATACAATCTTAAAACCTTTGATTTTAAAATAATCAAAGGAACCTACAAAGTGAACATAAAATTATATATAGGGATAAGTGTATATGAAAAGTAATAATAAATATAATGATGGTTCTAATGAATATCAAAAAGCACTTGATTTTTTAGAAAAAGGTTGTAATTGTGGTTGTTCTTCAAGAATTCCCAAGGAACAATTTGCAGGATTAAGAGAATCCTTTCAGACTCTTTCCAAGTCTGAACAAGACATATTTTTGATGGTCCAACTTAAAGCAATGGATGGTGTATCTATAAGCTCCAGCAGATGTCTTAAGAAGAAAACTAGATCAAATAAAAGAACTTTCTATCACTGGGATCATAATACACCCCTTTGTCAAGAAACTTATCTCAATATGTTGGGCATTGGTAGAACTTATTTTGAGAATCTTAGAAATTATCTGATAAACAATGGTCTTTTACCAAGAATTCATGGTAACATAAAAAGAATGCCTCAATGAAAAACTAAGATGGTGATTGATAAAGATATTGCAGAAGTAGTAAAGAATTTTCTAGAAAATTATGCAGAAGTCTATGGATTACCAAGTCCAGGAAGAAGTATTAATAGGATAACTCAATCAATTGTATTCTTACCAGCTGAAATGAGTTACAAATCAGTCCACAGAGATTTTCTGGTTGGTCTGGAAGAAGATAGCAAATTGAAATCCTTAAAATATGATGTTTTCAGAAAATTGTGACATCAATTGACACCAGAAATTCAAATCATGAGTCCAAGAACTGATTTGTGTGATACTTGTCAACATTTTAGAGATGGTTTACATTACAATGCTTGCCAAGAGGGAGAAACTAAAGATTTACTGAAAAGATTTAAAGAACATTTGTCCAAAACCAAATTAGAAAGAAATTATTATAATAAAAACACCAAATTAGCAGAAGAACAAAGAAAATTAGTTAATCAAAATTATTAAAAGGGTAAAACACCATATTGCAGCATTGATGCTACTGCACATTACAGTTATGATTGAGCCCAAAATGTTCATGTGCCACATTTAGATCAACAAGTAAGTAAAATCTATTATCTTAGCCCATGTAAAGTTCATTTATTTGGTATTCAAGATGAAGCAGTAAGGAAACAAATCAATTATGTTCTTAATGAAGATGAAATCATAAGTAAAGGTCCTAATGGCACTCTTAGCATGATTTTTGATGGAATTAAAAAATTAAATAAAGGTGAAAAGCATTTAAAGATTACTTGTGATAATGCTAATGGACAGAATAAAAATAACACCACTATTTGGTTTTACCTGTATTTAGTAATTTGTGGATATTATGAAAGTATTGAATTGAATTTCATGATTCCAGGACATACCAAATTCAAATGTGATGGTAATTTTGGCATGATTAAAAAACTCTATAGAAGAATAAGAACAGATTGTCTGGTCCACGTAGTTGATGTGATAAAAAAGTCTAGCCCAGCTGGATTAAATAAAACTCAGTGTTATGAA